GCGTTACTTGAATTGCTAACATCAGAAAACATTTTGTAAACTGATATTTTATAGAGTGTCCGAATAGAAACGCCAGGTTTAAGAGGTCTAATAAAATATTTTATTCCATTTAGGCTCATGCCTCCTGACTGCCTTGCGAAAATTCGAAAGTGTTCAGGCAAAGGCGACAAAATTTATTAACGGTGCAGTGTCTTCCACCGATAATTTAAAAATAATTCAGGAATGTGTTCTCGAAAGCCTATAGAAAAGAGCACAGTATAATGTAACAAAATTTACAAGTAAGGCAAGAAGCTGTTCACCAGAACACATCCCTAGAAAAACCTTTGATGAGCATAACGGCAGAACTAGACTAAATAGGTCATCTACTGTGCAGTTTGACAAAGATATTAGAACAGTTTTTAACCTCGATCGCAACAAATTTTTAGCTTCACTTGCGAGCTTTTGGCAATAGCTGAGGCACTTAACATGTACTTTCCCACTTCTGAACATGCAAAAGGACTCGTTGTCTTCTGTGACTCAAAGGAAATCCTAGACAGAAACTTCCTGATCACCAGCTGGATCGAACTTCGCCTGAACGAGGTTCAAATGTTAGAAAAATTCTGCATTCTGTACTGGGTCACCAGCACATGTCAACATCACAGGTAACGTATTTAAAATATAAACTGGCAAAAGGGGTGCGAAATCTTAACAATAATAATACCGTAAAAGTCATCCTATCGGTCGCAAACGGCATGTGCAAGTATAGATTGAAGGAGTATTTAATTACAAAAGAGCACCAGCTCCATAAGAAGATCGATTTATAAACCAGGGTTTAATTTCTAAAATCAGAAGTGCGGGAGCCCTCTGGAACTTCGTCAGGAAGAAGGGAAAAAGTAAATTAATGAAATAAGTAATAACTAAAACAATTAAATTTAGACTCAATAAATATAAAGATATAAATAAAAAAATTTAATTATTAAATTAATTATAAATAGTTAAATAAAAGAAATAATATATCGAACTTTGTTTTATTTGGGAGCTTCGACTGGACTTACCATTTACAAAAAAAAAATCTAAGAAATAGCTCAGCCCGCTTCCGGCTGAGTTTAGTCTCTAAAACGTACGATTTCAATGGAGGAGGACTTCTTTTTCCAGCACACCATAAAACGATTAAAGCGTCACTAATGGAAATAGAGAGGATGCTAGAAACAATATGTGAGTATGGAAAGAAGTTTTAATGGAGAATTGTAGCTTCGAAACCAAAGACAGAAGAGCTCAACGCTTTCTGACTGCGATGCCCCGCCAATATAAGCCCTGTCAACCAGAATGTCACTGGGCAAAAACGTTTTCCCCGAATCCGAGCCGATCATCTCAAGTGAAAATTTCTCAGTATTTAGTTACATAGTTCAAGTCCGCAGGAGGAATGCAGTAAGAGATCACTAGCGCTTGGACATGGAAGATCAAGGTAATCATTACTAATACATTCGGGAACAACACATCTTAAAATTTATTGCGATAATCTGGAAAATGAGCCTTTGACATATGAATTGAGGCTTTTCTTTCCTTAAAAATCTTAATCTCTGTCAATGTGTTTGTTCCCCAGAGAAAGACAGGCATAAATTCGGAAGTTACAATCGATTTTAGAGGTATATTTATTTTTAAAATAAAATTTTTCTGCCGAAATTGTGTTTCAGTTACATAACAGAAGTACCGGGGCTCTTTTAGTCAGGGCTCCGGTGCGCTCCGACTAGAATTACGAATTATCTCAGAAATTGAGAAGTACCGGAACCAGGATCCGGTGGGTTCCGCCGCAATTTAAGCTCTGCTTATAAGTGAAATCATTCTCAGGTTTAGAACTGGCCATCACAGAGGATTGAAATTCTGGTAACTGCCTATATACAGAACTGACAGCTAAACACATTTTTGATTGTCCAGCCGTCCTTGCTGAATTGCTAAAAATTGGTGGTCTTGTTTAAGATACGGAACGTCTACGATGATAATATTTTGCAATTGCCAGGGCTGTCATCTGCGACCATTGCACAGTTTGAATAGGATTTATGCCAAACATAAAATACTAATTCGGAAAAAAATCAGTAATTCGTAAATTATATTTTCAAATTTTCACAGGACTAGTTTCGATGGTTTTACCGAACCACCATCCTCAGCTGCAAAAAGCGCAAATGAACAATCGCAAATGAATTCAAAAAAAATCTTTCTGTTCTAGTTAACGATCCTAATTCCAGTCCATCTTTGCCTTCGGCCTTTAAAGAAATTATGTTTTAGTTCTGGTTTCATCAACAGATGGCGCCACTAGCTTCTTTTCTGTCCAGGCTTTCTTATCTTATCTGATCATTATATCCTATCTCGTTCATTTGCGCTTTTTGCAGCTGAGGATGGTGGTTCGGTAAAACCATCGAAATTTGTCCTGTGAAAATTTGAAAATATAACGCTTATTTTTGTTATTTGACTTGTGATCTGAGTCACACAATGATACCACCAATACAAAAATAACATAGCATTATAACTCACATCACATCCATCTTCCCATATGCTAAGGCATTCCTCCAAGCACACCAACAAATGTCAAACTGCAACACCTAATTAATTGTAACATGTTATCTCCATATTGATTCCTGTATACCAATATATCTGTACCCCAGTTTATCTTTATAATTGTTCTTCCTATGTAAATAACTTTTTACTTTAATGTAATTTATTATGTCAACTGCGTAATGTAATAAATGCCAGAAAAGGTTAGTGCAGTGGGGCATTACCATTTTTGCCTATGACGATGTCGTGGTGCCCCCTGCACTTTTTCCTGTCCTGTCGTGTCCTGTTTGACTTCTGAATTAGTATTTGTTCGGCGTGTTATTGTGTCTTAAACATAAAATACTTTATTTTCAGGAAATGGAAAACATTTTTAACACATATAGCACATGTAAAATGCGCCGACTTAAATATGAAAAATAACGTATGTGGTAAGATTTTCTTTTTATATGTAAGAGTGGCAAAGCACTGACCAGCGAGGAAATGCAAGGTCACGTGACCACTTCTCGGAGAGACACGTGACATGAGCAACGACGAAGTTCATAAAAACTAAAAGAACGCTGAATTATGATTATTATGATGTTATTCCTTTTTTAAATGATGGTATGGATCGACTTTCTCTTGTTATTTCTTTTTATTTTTATGTGTCATCTTCGTGTTAATTGCATTCGTTATGTTTGCGTGTTTTCATAATTAAACTATTAAATGTTACGACCGTCGTCTTCATAAGCATGTTGCTATAGTTCGGAAGTACTACTACATCCCACATGTATGGCATATCATACATGTGGGATACATTAAATCTCTAATTATCTATGACATTACAGAAGCGAGTGAGCTCAATGAAATTCCTATAATCACTTTTTTTTCGTATCTGCCTATCGAAATGGCTAATAAATAATACATTTATATTTTCTCTTTAATTTGTTTGCTATTTCGCTTCAAGTTCGAATTTTTTGGGACCTTTGAATAACTCTAACAGGCAAAATAGCGGTATTTTTAACAGATCGGCTGGATCGATTGCGTGGTGATTTCATGTCTACTGTCGAATATGTCCTCAAATTTCTTTTAACAGTCTGCAAAATGTTGCTTCATTTGGCGCACGATCACGTCCAGAGATTGCAAGGAGCTTTATGATAATCTGTGCATAATACTCTGTATTCTTGAAATAAATTTTTACAATCTGTTTCTTTATATAAGCTCTCTGTGGAGACACCGTTGCAATGAACCAGTGCAGTGAAGTGACCGTGATGAAATACCACTGCTACCAGCTCATATCAAACTGGACATATTAAATCAGAATATATGAAAAATTGCACGTATTTTCCATTGCCTAAGAATGAAATGTAACCTTTCGCGCATATTAAATCCAGGGTTTTTTGGGGACACCCTATATTTTTAGTTACACCCATTTCATTCATCTGTTTGTAGTGCTGTTGTCGTTGTTGTTGTCTTGTTTATGTATATCATGAAATAATGGTTGCCAGAACCTCAAGGAGGTTGGACTTCTACTTCTACCTCAGTTTTGAGGGAGAGCACCTGTGAGGAAGGTCGTCCGAGGGTCTCCCCCCTTCTGCTTTGCTACCAAACCACATCAGCGGATTTTCGGCTCGCCGTATATTTAGAGTGCTCCCAAGCCGCAAAGACACTATACACTTACAAACATACATGCACTTCTCCGGGATTCGAACCCGGGTCCTTCGGTTTCGCAGCAGGCTCCCCTAATTACTATACCGTCTGTCCGGCGTTTGTAGTGCTAGATGATCGACTTTAATACCAAATAGCCCATCAGCGGCTGAGCGGTAAAGTCGCTAAACACTGGTAGTTCGGTCCGAGGTTCGAATCCCGCGAACGGGCTGGCTGCATGGGTGTCTTCTTGGTTTTCCCCATGTGTAACGTGTATACGAGCCAGTTCCCTTAGAAAGTCATCCACGAAGGCATCCCTCCCCTTAGGCAGATAGCCTTCGAGGCTTTGTCGTAATTAAATAACCTAACCTAACCTTAATACCAAATATATTGGTCAATTCTAGTATGGGAATTAAACGTTTTGTGGCTTATTTATTGTAATGAGTGCAATATTTACCTAAACATAAATATGGACGACCGGGGGAACTTACATAGTTAGATAATTTAATTTTTAAACATAAAAATGCCAAAATATTAATCTTTGTGTCATTTGACGGTACTCTTGTGTTATCGGGACCGGATTCAGAAATTTATGTATGTAGGCATGTGTGCGTTCATATATTGCATGTATATAAATATGTACTTATGTATGCTACTCACATACATACATACGGACGTGCATGCATACATACATTTCTGAATCCGGTCCTGATAATGGAAAAGTACTCATTTAAAACATTTTTGTAATTGGAAATATATGCCTAGCACCAACGGTTGCGAAATTAAAGGCCTGATGTCTTTATTTTCGACAACCCTTGGACAATCGGTGTATACATATGTTACCTTACCTTCACAGTATCCATCCTTTTCGCCGTACCCTGGAAGGCAGTCACAAACTGGTGATCCGAAGCTATTCAAACTGCATCTTCCGTGCTGTCCACAGTTGCAATCTGCAAGAATAACAGGTAAAGGGGCTTAGAACTTGAAACTTAAAATAAAAGCAGCGCTTTTAACGCACTCTTATGCTTGTAGAAACAAATGTATATTACACACATACACAAACATATTATACATAATCAAACGTGTGTATTAATTTAGAATTTAAACAGCAAAAATGAGTGTTATATTTGCAAATTTTCACAGGTTTAGTTTCGATGGTTTTACCGAACCATCAGCCTCAGCTGTCAAAGGGCAAATGAACGACATAAGATATAGTGATAAGTTAAGATAAAAATGGCCATACAGGAGTTAAGTTACTAGCGCCATCTATTGATAAAAACAAAACTAAAACTTAATCTCTTTAAAGGCTGAAGTTAAAGATACATTGGAATTAGGGTCGTTATCTAGAACAGAAAGTTTTTTTGAATATAAAACGCCTTTAGAAAATTTAGTTCACCAAGCCTTCACTTATCAAATCGTCAATTAATTCACAGGGTCATTAATTGTCTTCAGCCTTTAAGGAAATTATGTTTTAGTTTTTGTTTCATCAATAGATGGCGCCTTAACTACTGTCTTACCATTCTTATCTTACCTTATCACTATATCTTCTCTCCTTCATTTGCACTTTGACAGCTGAGGGTGATGGATCGAAACTAGTCCATCGAAACAAGTCCTAAGAAAATTTGCAAATATAACGCTGATTTTTGCTGCTTGAGATCTAAATTAATATTTGTTCGGCGTGTTATTTTACCTTAAATGTGTCTATATCATAAACAATTTTTTTTTAAATGTTCAGTCATTTGCATAGTGACAGTTGATATAATAGTCACCAAAAGAGAATGAATCTGCCATTTGCAGCTTTTTGGGTGTGAACATTTTGCCATGTTGTAGCTGCAATTATTCCAATCCTGTCCAGTTCCAACGTACACGCTGCAAAAAAAGAGATAGTTCTGTATCTCCTGTTCTACTACCCCGATTGACGAAATTTAATTACAGTTTCATGTCTCGAATGCGCGACTTAGGATTTGTATTAGATTTATATATAGCTCTGTTCTGACATAGGCATTTCGACGCAAAATCGAACGTTGTCTGAAATGACATACCAATTTTTTCCATATTTCGATTTTATTATAAATTCATTATATTATATTAATATATGTTATGATTTTATTTTATTAATATTTTCAAATTATGTCTAAATATTATAAACTTGTCAGAAACTTACCGAGAAATTTTAAAATTTATCTTGGCAAGCTTTTTTTAGCTTGCGCCAAGAACAATTCTCTTGGCAAAATTCTTAATTTATGGTAACCTTTCATTGTGCGAGAGCAGAAGAAAAGTTCACCGTTCATTTTTTCGAATAACTTTTATAAAGTGTGTAAACCATATTTGGTGTTATTATCGCTTATAATCAATATGCCAAATTTTGAATAAAAATTCTAATTTTTGGCCAGTCAGCCTAAAAAATGAGTATAATTTAAGCGAATGGTAAAAATGCTGTATGTTATATTTCAAATATTTCTTCCAAAAAATTAAAAAAAATAACTAAAAAGTAAACATTTTAAAAACAAAATCAGAAAATACCTGTGAATTGTATTTGGATTAAACTTTAATTTGGAATGTGAAAGAAGGAGTTTAATAAAAAACGAGATATTACTAAATTAAGTTTAATAAAAAGTAATGTTAGTTTAATAAAATTAATGTTTGTTTAACAAGATAATAAAATTTAGTTTAATAAAATTAGTTAATAAAAGTTAGTTTAATAAAATTAATGTTAAGTTTAACAAGATAAATAAGATATTAATAAACATGTACCAAATTCAATTAACATCGAGAAGCTTAAATTTTAAAAGCTAACTTTTCAAAATCTACTATAAATTTTTAAGTTATGCTTTGAGGCGTTGGCATACGTACAATTTTTGCATACAAGCGTAAAACGCTTTCATTGAAGCGAAATACAGTTAAGTATTTAAGGTTTCATTACTCGGAAAATCTGCTCGATCAATGAATCTGATGAAATGTAAACGTGAGAAAACAAAGAAACACTATGGTAATTCAAAAGTTGATAAGATTGTAAGGATGCTAAGTTTTACTAACGTTTATTTTATTTTAAAACTGTACTATCACTTCTTATTTTCTACTTCCGGCCAGAATTAAATGCTTTAACTTATTTATGCAATTTGCCTTGCAACGCCAAGTACTTTAAGTTGTGGCTTTTTGCCAAGAGAGAGGAAGGAATTATAGGAAGCAAGCCGCTTGCCACTGTAGTTTTACGAGTTTTCACTCTGTTGCTGGTTGCCTTTAACCCCTTCGAGCCGGGTAGCGAAAACGCGCGCTTATCGCTGAGGCCGGCAGTGTCTTACGCGAGCGTCTCTCCAGGGCCGGGGGCTTTTTTGCTACTAAGCCTAAATCCATGAAATTTTTGAAGTATCAACGCATTGTTTAATAATGCTCTATAGAGTATTTAAACGGCTTATGCTTTATAGATATTTTTATATGCATATTTTAATTACCTTATTTCTTGTTTAAATGCATATTTTACACATTTTATTTTAATTACTCACCATTTTATGAATTTTAACATTATACCTCTGAAAACTAAATATATTACTTAAAATTCTCTTTTCGTATGAAAAATTTGAAAACAGGGATCTACACACAGTCCTACGTTACATTCCTTGCACTCGTAATAACTAATTTGCCGTTTTGGAGGATTTTTTCCGGGAATGTGAACAAACGAAGCATAGTCGTCTCATTTTCTTATCAGTCTCTTCTGAACAAAGTTTTGCAAAATGTCTTTCAGTTAATCTTTCAGAATCAATATCTGAAATATTTTGCATCATTTCTGCTATTTCATGCTCTGTTAAACATTTTCGACGCTTCGACATTGCAACGGTAAAAACAAAGAATTCACGTCTAACAAGATCTAATTATTTTCTAAAAACTGAACTGCAAACCGAAATACCCAACGCTTTAGAGCAAATAAAACTTCTCTACTTACAGTAAACAACTACCACGTGCGAATAAAGTGCGATTTAAAGAGACGTCATAAATCACGCCATTCGGAAACATTTACTTCCTCGTTTGTTTATATAATCAAAAACACGTGTATGTGAGTCATGCTTCTCTCATTTCCAGTAGAAGGTCTAATGTACATGTATCTGAAACCATATGGACGTACAGTGCCATCTTGTGGCAGAAATTATAGTTTGAAAAACGTTCCAAAGTACTGGCACAAATACGTGACAGTAGGTAGAGAACGGAACAATCCTCTGGCACGCCTGCGTGTCGGCCGGTAGATAAGTGTGTTCGTTGCTGGCACGTATACGTGACAGTCGGCGCGAAGGGGTTAAGGTCAGAGGTTTAGCCCTCTTGCTATTTGCAAACGTATTGTAGTTTAAACAGCTCGGCGTACTACATACGTACTTTTCTTTAAATAAAGGCCAATCTTAGTGCTAGGCATTTGTATACTAATTCAAAGTTAGTTTTTAGTTAGAGTTTTAGTTAGTAGTTTTTATATTCTTACGTTCAGACCACAAGTGGTTGATCTTTGTATTCCGAAGCTCGGAAGATCATGTAAAAGATAGAAAATAAAGGGTTTCGTATACCCTTCTGCTTGTGTTGTCTACTTCACACTTTCTTGAACATAGCTTGAGTAAGCTCCCTGTTCCGATTCAGGACCATTCATGTTTCCAACGCAAATCAAGAGAAATACAAGTCCTGATAAGATAATAGTTCCCAAAGGAGAATAAAACTGGGTTTGCGAATATTTCGCGAAGTGGTACTTGCAATTATTCTAGCCCTGTCCAGTTGCAACGTACGTGCTGAGATAAAAGATTTTTCTACTGTGTCAAAAAGGATTAGCTATGTAGTTGGTTTGGTTTATGTGATTACGGCAAAGCCTTGAGGGCTATCTGCCTTAGAGAAGTAATCATGTAACTGTGCAAGTATTTAGCATACTGTTCGATTGACGCAATGTATTATTTAGCAGTCAGTAACTATTATTAATGCAACTTCTCACGCATAACGTTGCACCCTTGAATTTTGTATTATATGCGTAACTGTACACGTATAATGGTGCGTCGGTTATGCTTGCACGGTTGCGTCGAACAACCGTGCAAGCATAACTGTGCACTTTCGCATGATGTATGATTAATGTATTATATAAATAGCACTCTACATTAATAAGCATTCGGTATGAATAATGTAATGCACTCAGCATACTTTATGAATACTGCATTGTATAATTTAGCAGACTGTAAGTACTATATAATGTTACTCCGAACGTCAACTCTACTTTCGAATCTTATATATATGCGGCTTAAGTGTTTGTCGCCGATAGTTTGTTGGTTGCTTGCGTAACTGTAAATTGTTTTATTCCCCGTGCAGTGCAGCGCGTGACAAATAATATGAGAAAGCTAAGCCAGAAAAATTAAAAATCACCTTTATTTATTGAGCTAGCGGTGGCTCTTAAGAAATGTACCTCCAGTGGTTTCCTTCATTGCACAATTAAGCAATTAAGCAAGTAGAAGGGGGAAACCCCGTATGACAGTTAGCAAAGGGATGTCGTCGCTGCCTGCCTTGGGTAATTCAGTTTGAATTAGCAGACACCTTTGCACAAATCATTTTAATTACAATTTATAATATCTAGAACAGCGTCATTTCGTATGCCGGCCGAGCTTTCTAGTATTGTAAGACTGTGTAACAGCGCATGTATAACTCTATTTACTGACTGTGCATGCATAACTGCGTGGTGTATTTAATTATGGCAAAGCACACTAGGGCTATCTGCCTAAGGGAAGGGATGCCTTCGTGGAGGACTTTCTAAGGGAAACTGGCTCATATACACGTTATACATGGGGAAAACCACGAAAACACCCATGCAGCTAGCCCGTTCGCTGGATTCGAACCTCGGACCGAACTACCACTGTTCAGCGACTTTACCGCTCGGCCGCTGGTGGGGCCTCTCTATACGAATAAGCATATTGCATGAATATTGTGTATAAATATT